TATATATGTTTTGTACAAAAGAAGCACAACTTCTAATTTTACAGCACATTTTGTCATCTAAGGTCAAAAGACTCACCAGCAATGAAGAATGTCACAAAATTATCCAGCATAAATTCCTCATCTTCTGCAGTCATGCTTTCTTCTGTTACAACAAAAAATAGGCAGGTGAATGGTTTGAAGCTGTTATCTTGAATACTAAGCAACGTAGTTCACATTCAAAGTTTGGATATCCATCCATTAACAAAGTAAGATCTGTTCGGAAACTTTTGTGAGGGATCTATTTGACAATGTGAACAAAAAATACAACAAAACTGTATGGATTGTTTAAAGTAAACTGAAACTACAATATATACTTTTATATCTTATAACCTGTGGCAGCAGTTTTGATGATCTGTGTGAGGATGTCCTTTGGGACATCTTCTCCGTTCTGCATGGCGGTCTTTCTCTTGTGGATCCAATGAGTTCCTGTTGTTCGCAGCAGATGGCATGCTTCCCTCACTTCCCTTATGAACCCTCTGTTCTTTGGATTGAACTGGAATAAAAGAAAGTCAAACAGGCTAATGTTCATAAAGTTGTTTTGTACTTTTTAAATAAAATTAAGTTTATTGTTTGTTTTTATTTTAAGCTTTTGTTTTTGTTAATTTGAGTTTGGAAGCAATGCCACAACTCAACCACACCTCTTAACACCTGACAAGCTTTCTTATATTCAACGCACTCCTCCAACACAGTCTAGTACTCTGAACAGACAGGGCATGTTCCACTCCATCACAGATTACTTGATTCTTAATATACTGTACATTCGCTTATACAATTCAAAGCACAAAACCTGACAGCAGTGCCTCAAAAATGGTTTAGACCCCTATGAATGGGCAGTGATGTTTTAATATTCAAAGTCTAATTAAAATGGGCAACTTTAAACCACCGGCACCAAGTAGTAACACAGTTTATTTGACCACACAACAATTTTCCACCTTGTCTCGATTCATTGAAAATTAGCTTTTGTCCAGAAACATTTTTAACATTTCTATATAGTATTTCCAAATGGCTTCTTCTTTGCTGATGGAGCTTTTTCCCCCCAGTCACTAGCTTCTGTGTTTCCCCAGTCACCACTCCCTGTGGATCTTCTTTCATCGCCATTATTTGGGTCTTCTTTCAGAGTATTCACTGTTGCCAGAATCTCCAGTGATACCTAAAGCATTACCAGTGCCTCAGCTCTTTAAGCTACTTGAGTCTCAGCTCTTCAAGCCATCTGATTCTCAGCTCTGAGCTTTCCAAGTCTAAAATTTCTGAGGTTCTTACATATCCTGATTCCAAATTTTCAGTGTTTCCAGAGTTCTCAACGGCTCCAGTCTCCAGACTTTCTAAATGTCCTTTGTCCGGGCTCGTAATGTTCATAGTCTGCTGTACTAACAGTTCCAATTTCTGTTCCTACAGTCCCTCTAGTTCATAGGCATGCAGAGTCTTCAGTTTCTGCACATGCAATTCCAGATCCAGCAGTTGTTATTCCTGCCCTAGCATCTGCAGTTTCTGTCCCAGCACCTGCAGTTCCCAGGACTCCAGAGGGATTTCCATCTCCTAAAATTGTTATGTCTAAACTTACTGAGTCACCATTTCTTAAATTTTCCAAAGGTTCTCTACATCTTAAGAGTCTATGGCTCAGGTCTCCAAAGTCTTTGCACCTGCCTCCAAATAAGTGAGGGTTGAGGATGACATCTCTCCCACACCAGTTTGGACAGTTCTCAGGCTGTCTGTCTGAGCTATTCTGCTGGTTTGGACATATGCTGGTGAAGATTCTCAGTCATCCAGGTCATGATAAATCCAAAAAAGGGTTAAAAATAAACCCCAAAACAACTGGACTTCTAATCTGAAGCTGAAGATGTTCAGCTTCCCATTCAGGAGGCTTTATCTATTTAAAGTCTTCAGCTTCAGAATGAGTTGTTGTTGTTTTTTTAACCCTTTTTTAGATCTCGTTTGAACAGTCTCTGGACCGACCACCTGAATCCTGTCGCCAGTCTGTACATGGTTTCATGGTTGCCCACCTGAGTTCCATCTCCCATTTGCACAGTTTATGGACTGACCACACAAACTCTGTAAGTATTTGACAGTATTTGGGCTGTCTACCAGACCTCAGTCTCCTGCTTGAGTGAGCCCCGGCTCTTCTGCCAACATCTTCCCCTACATGGAGTTACCATCCTGAACTCTGTTTTCTGCCCAGGTGTCCTGGTGTCATTCACCTGAACTGTCTCCTGTTTGGATGACGTGCCTCTACCCATTCATTTGAATGCATTGTGCTGAGGTCAGGTGGGCAAGGTTGAGGATGAAGATTCAAAGAAAAATTCTACAGTTTCTGGACAAATTTCAAGAGTGTTTTTGCCTAAAATTCCCAGAGCCTCTTTAGACAAGTTCATAATGCAGTCAAGCCAACAGCAGCATCCAGAAACAAGCACATACATCTTCAGTTAAGCCAACCTTTGAACAAAAGCTCAAAAACAGTGATATACAGCTACTTATGTTAGTGGGAGTTATTTATATTAGACCTTACTGCTTGTTCTTTTCTAAGCTAGCTGTTACACAAACATTCAATCCATGTCTGAGAGCTTTCACCCTAGCTACCTGAGCCCAGGTCACTCTCTCTGCCTCATAGCCTCCTTCATTGTCAGAGCTTTTGCAACAAAGTTCATCAAAATCGGTGTCACCTCAGCTGCCCCTCCCACCTGGTAGCTGTTCTGTCAGATGCAGAGTTGCACAGTGCATCTCTATTTCTAGTTTTCTCTTCACGTTAGTCTTGCACATGCATAAACATAAAAATAAAAAAAAAACATGCTTTGGATGGTGATGAATAAACTGGCTGGTTGTATTATTCACTTTATTTTATACACTGTGTGTTCACTTTATTCTGTACTCTGTGTGTTCACTTTTTGCATAGTTTTATATTTTATACTTTATTCACATCATATCTATTTTTGTGTGTATTATAAACTGTTCACTTATACTTTATCACATAGAGGTGAAAAACTTGTATTCATACAGTACAGCACTGGGCACGAAGGAGGGGCTGAATCGTTTTTCTGTAGACAGAAACAAAGAACAAAAGTAACTTTCGAGACTGGTATTAAAAGCCAGTTAAAACTAGTTTTTCCTTGAAAGATAAGAAATATGACTGCGTGGTTGCCAAGGTAACCTTAGATTGACTAGGTGGTCAGCCAATAGGAGAAGAGCCCCCTCCGGGAGGGAGGCGGATTCATGAAGAGCTTATATTATCCTAAAACCGGAAGTAGCGTCAGACAAGCTTGAGCAGAGCAACTTCTCAGGTGAAGTACGCCTCTATTGTCTCCTGAAATGCATTTCAGAACTTTGTTTTTGTAATACTTTAACTGTGGTGTATGTTAAAACTCTCTTAAACTAAGGTGAAGTCTCCTGATGGTACCGGCTCGATCCAAAACCAACCCGGAGAAAGGTGTTCGTACCTTTTTCAACAATGGATCAATGAGTCCCTTGTTCTTTGACTTCATCCTATGACGAAGGCTTCCCCAGAATGTCTACAAGATGATGGTATTCCATCATCTATTAGACAGTGAATCAGACAACTTGTGCACTCAACACCCATTCTACAAACAGCAGCAGTCAAAAGGACTCTGACCCTTCCACTCTTTTATCTTCCTCTTCCATCACACCAGACATCACTGACATCCTTCCAGGCCTCAGCCAGTATCAGCATAGGTCAGATCCATCTCTATGAAGTTCAGTTCAGTATTCCTTATGTTACCAGCACTTTTATTCTTCAACCAAACAAAAATCCTCTTATTCATCTGTGGAGTCCTAAACTAGCCAGGATGTTTACCATGATTGTACCTGCCTCTAAGTCTTTTTCTCCCTAGCCGCCAATCTTGAGACTCCCAACATGAGACTCAACCGTCAGAAAGACACAATTGCTAATCTCGCTTCCTGAACTTCGATTGAACCTGTAAAGTGGTGGTGTGGTGTGGTCGTTGAGAATGAATAAACTGAAGTATTACCTTGAAGAAAAAGTCTCTAATGCTGTACACCAGCCCTTTAAGACAAGTATCAATTGCTTTAGAGAAAGGTGAATCTGTCTTCAGAAGGTCTAAATCCATATCAAAAGCAACCTGAAATTCATTGAATAAACAAGCACAATTGTTGTAACATAATTTCAAAATTGGCATTAACTGTTGTTTTGTAATTTTTTTTACATTTATATGTTTGATCAAAGTACCCATATAAGTACCCATACCTTTGCAATCACATCAAGTGTGACAGAGTTGAAATAGTGCAGCATGTTGACTTCCATATCATTATCAGCGTCAGCTGCAAGTTTATCCATCTGTTGATCTACCCTATCATTGAAGGTGCCTAGCAGACCTTTCAAATACCTGTAAAGAATCAGAGTTTTAGTGGAACCAAACTCTGCATCTACAAGGTACCAGGAAAATCTTATATTCACATTATAACTGGACAATCAAAATGTTTTCTAAAAACTGATTGAGGAAAAAGAATGACTGAAAACAAAGCATAAAATAGAACTCAACATTAGAAACAAAAAAAAAGCTCACAAGCTGTTAAAGGCAGAGTCCATGATCCGGCGTTGTTTGTACCACACCTCATGATCTTGTGCTGTCACCAGACCATTGCCCATAAATCTGGAAAACAGGCAGGTGAGAGAATACATCAAAAATCAAACAAAATAGATGAAATGATTTTGTCCCAACTAAAAATTGGAACAAAATTTAAAGAGCTGTGCAGTGTCAGTTTACAAGCTTATTTAATAGGTTTACTTTTTGTTTATCACAAATATAATATTGATGCAAACTTCAGCTTCACATGTAAAGAAAGAACTTCAATAAATAAATGTTTCTCCTTTCAGGACCTTCTCAACAGCATTTCTTGAATGGATCCTGTCATGAACTAGTTTTCAGGTTGTTCTTAGTGTTTTATTATTATGATTATGTATATTTTTGATTGTTGTGTTTATTGACTCACTTGTGCTTTAAAATGTTCAATTCCCTGTGCTTCTATCTGCCACCAGTTCATTCCTTTCCTAGTGATTTTCCAGTCAGCTTGCCACGCCCACCTTTATCTGATCCCTTGCCATAAGTCTCTAGCTGCGTCCATTTTCCTTATTAGTTCAAGCCTTCATATTCCGTTTCCATTTCCACCTCAGGAGAGCAATGTTTAGCTTTCATGCCACAGTCCTCCTCCTGCTTTTTGTGTTTATCCAGAGGTTGATGTAGGTTCGCTGCTATGTCAGTTTTTTGTTTTCTTCTTAATAAATTTAAGTTTTGTTTTTTGATCTTCTCATATCTGCATTTCAGATCCCAAACCTCCTATTGATCATGACAAGATCGTAATAAATAAAAGGTCCAAGGGAGCCTAAATGTAATTTATTAATTTCTCATCTAAAGCGGAATTGTACAACACTTTTAATATCGTTTGTCTTTGGAGTCACATACATGTTTTTACTCCAAAAAGACTGGCTTTTTACTAGTTTCGTAAATTAGTGTAAGAACATGATGCAAAATTAATAATGTTTTTAGACTGAGCAATACAGGCAGTCAGACCTTTGACCAAACAGGTAACGCATCCTCTTGTAAGCAGACTTGTCCTTGAGGTACTTTTGGTTCATGAGGATTTCCTGAAAACAAAATCAAAAACATGCAAATCAATAAATTTACAACAGACAGCACTGTAGCAGAAGCATTGTTTTAGTTGCAAAAACTTTAAACTTCACAAGTCTACATTGTTTGTGCAGTTTCACAGGTTTTTTTTTACACCTCTTAGGAAACAGGTGTTTACCTTTGTTGCCTCTGGACAAGTCACAATCAAAAAAACATGATGCAGAGAATTTACCCTGTAAACAGACCCGTAAGTCTCAGCCCTGTAGGAGACATTACAATTCTTGCTTTTATTTGTAATTTAAGTCTTGCGTCTATAGTGTTACAATTCTCATGAACCAACTTCAATTTATACACCTGGAAACACATAAAAAAAAACTTTTATCAGTTCACTCCACTGCATAACTTACCATTCAAGTAACTTGTCATGTATATTTCCATCATTTTTCATAATCCGTAAAATTGTTGGTGTATGTCCCAAAAAGAAACTTGAGTAGGAAAAAAATAAAAAATGTAAAAATTATGCAACATTTTAACCAACATCAGCCTACAAAGAATAACTTTACCTGTCTCTTGGTGCTCCAGGTATGTGGTCATATTTCATGTGGATGTATTTAATATACAAGCAGAAACCGAGAAATGCAATAAAAAGAAGACAGATTAGGATTAAAAACACTTTTGCTCCAAAACTCAAAAGTAACTGAAAAAACACCATTTTAGTAAGTCCTGCAGCAATGTTGCCCACAAACTGGTTCACAAACTGTTAAAGAAATTCTTCTCATGAACTCTGGTTCAGTAATGATTAACACAGCTCTATAGTTGGGACTAAAGTCCAAATTGTCTATGTGGATAAACTTGTGCAGCAGCCTGTGAAGTTTATACAGTTGTAGTGTCATACGGCAGGCTTCTGACTATTTTTGTGATTCATTTTACTTCACTTAATAAAGCTTGTGGTCACAAGAACCCCTCACTTATTTGTTCTCCACTTACAGAAATATAAGCGTACTGCTTCACCTAATGAAATCACCCAGGTCGAATACCAAACAAGGACTTGCTGCTGCTATCAGTAGAAGTTACAACAAGTATTGAATGCTGATTGCTGGATTCATTTTTGAGGTGGGGTGTGGGGGTCTTTTGTAGCCTTGAACTCTGTTCATACGTACCTTGAATGCCAGATGCACATGTTCAATTTTGCCACACAGTGATGTTAACGGGCACTTTCACAGTCGTCAGATTTGAAAAAGTTTGCAACAAAAGTCTTTCTTTTGAAAATGAAAAAAAAAAAAATAAAAAAATAAATATATATATATATATATATATATATATATATATATATATATATATATAACAAACTGCAGTCATGTATAAGGTGTTCTTTTTCACAGAGTGGTGTAGATGGGAGCAGCACGGTGGTGCAGCTGGTAGAGCTGCTGCCTCTCAGCGAGCAGGTCCCTGGCCTTTCTGGGTGGAGTTTGCATGTTCTCTCTGTGCATGCGTGGATTTTCTCCGGGTACTCCGGTTTCCTCCCACAGACCAAAAACATGCATGTTAGGCTGATTGGTAACTCTAAATTGTCCTTAGGTGTGAGTAAGAGAGTGAATGTTTGTCTCGTTTGTCTCTATGTGTCCCTGTGATGAACTGGAGACCTGTCCAGGGTGTACCCCGCCCCTCACACAGTGATTGCTGGACATGGGCAACGGCAAACTCCGTGACCCAAAATAGAAGAAGCGGGTAAAAGATAATGGATGGATGGATGATGTAGATAGATATTTCTCTGTTCATCAATAGTAAAGTGTGTTATTAGTGAAATGAATAGCTTCTCTTTTGTTTGTCACCCTCTCATCATTGCTGTTGGAAGAAGAAACATTGGATCAACAGTTTGGGCTCCATCTCCAGTCTTTAGGCGCAGCCTTTACACACGGAGCGTGTTGGAGAGCCTCAGCCAGTCCTGGGGCCTGCTGGACCTGGACTGCTTTATCATTTTATCTGGTGAGATAAAAAGTAAAAAGACCATCTGTGCATGCGCAGCAGGAGACCTGATCAGAGTTCAGAGAGAGGAGATGCCTCAGGGTTCTGGTTCTGGTTTGATGGGGCAGCTGCAGGTTCTGAACTCTGAATAAAGTGGTTTGGACTGATCCGGGTCCTTCTTTCTTTCTCTGGACTTTAGCACAAGTTTGACCAAAACAACATTCAGTTTTGAAACTGCTGCTTAACACGAGCAGCAGCAGCAGCTTCTCACGCACGGCCAGCTTCTCACGAAAAGCAGCTCCAAATCAAGGGACGAGGAGAAATTTACTTTTATTTTTGGTTCTGAGTTCCTGGAATGATCCAGAAGTATCATAGCCTGAATCTGTTCTCCTCCCAGATCCCCTACCCCAATGACACCGGGAGCTACCTCCACCCCTCTGCCAGCTCCCGGGTGTACGTCACCACCAGAGTCCCAGCTATGCTGCACACGCCCTACTGTTGTGGGTTGCAAGACTGAATTAAGAGAAACTAAGCAAACACAGGAATCAGCTTCAGTTCTCCGTTTACTTTCACTTTAGATTCTCCCTCCTGTCCCTCTGTACAGCATCTTTGAAACATACAGTCTTAGACCACCCACTGGTGTCTTTTTTCTGCAATAGCAATTCAATTCCATTTCAGTTCACTAACACAACACAACATTTTCCCTTTCCTTGAATAAATTACTTATATGTAACATTTTCTTGTGTTGTACTTTAGCAAAACTGTAGTACATCCTTACCGATCTTAAAGAACACTTGTACCAGTCTGAACAGCAGTAATTTACATTTTGTTTTCACTTTATCTTACAAAACCTGTTAACCATCTTGGTGCATTTCTAGATCTCTGACTTCTTCTAAGTGGAACAGATTCCTTAGTGCTTCCAGGAAGTGCAAATGTACCCAACACAGTGTCATTGTTTTGTTCTGAGCCAATTAAGGCTTGCTTTGAGAAGTGTGCAAGTTTTGAAGCATTCCACTTGCGTCTGTCGTTTAGTAAATATGCATTTTGTCCAACTTTCATTTTGACAGTCCATGGTTCTGTAAATCTTGACAATCCTTTGGGAACGTGCTCAGGTCTGCAAACACGAACAGTGTCACCCACTTTGACTGTTGATGTTTTAGCTTTCATTTTCCTGTTTGTGTATTCCTTCATTTTATTCTGCTTTCTTTTCACCCTCTTTTTGATTTGGGTGTGTGTTTTGCTTTTCAGTGCTACTGGGAGTATGTTTAACTTGGTGCACATTTTTCTGTTTCTCAGTAGCTCAAATGGTGCTGCTCCCGTGGTTGCATGAGGAGTAGCTCGGTAGTTGTGCAGGAACTATTGTATGTTATAGCTTCCCTCTCTCAGAAAGTTAGTAAATGCATGAGAAGTAAACTGACAACCATTATCTGAGACAAGGTATGTTGGATCACCTTCCCTACTGAACGCCATGGCTAAAAAGAGAATGATGACATCTGTAGTTACAGTAGAGGCGAATGCAACCTCAGGCCATTTGCTGTAGTAATTTATAAGTGCAATAGCATAATGACTGTCCCATGTAGCATTTTCAAATGGGCCTGTAATGTCTATTATAACTTTTCCTATGGTTTGCTAGGCAACTCAACTTGTGTAAGTGGAGCTGGAACATTTACAGCTATTTTATCACTGAACTGGCAGTTAACACAGGAAGCAATGACAGAATGTACAAGTTTGTCAAGTTGTGGCCACCAGAACAGTTCACACAGTCTCTGCTTGGTACGGACTATGCCTTGATATCCCTCATGTGCTAAATCAACAACTCTGGCACGTAATGAAACAGGAACAACTAGTTGATCAGTCCCTCTCATTATCAGTGAACCATGAACTGACAGCTCATCTCGTACCTGAAAATATGAAGTAAGGTTCTCGGGCAGACCTTGTTTGCATTTGGGCCAATCATTTTGAATCTGGTTGCGCATCAGTGACAGTTCTGGGCAGGTTTCACTGGCATAAGTGAACTCTGAAAGAGAAATGGCTCACAGTGACTCCTTAAAAACAGCTTCAGTCATGTCAGGTTCTTCTGTAGCCTCATTTGCAGCAGTTAGGTAGCCTGGAAAGGCAGTCAGCAGTGATGTTTTGGTGTCCTGGGTGATAACTGATGTTACATGTGAAGCAGAGCAGTCAAGCTGACCATCTGGCGATCCTCAGTCCAGCATGAACAGAACCTTTGTAGATGGGTAAGGTTGTAAGTGCTTGGTGATCTGTATGAAGGACAAAGCGACAAACCCAGAGGTAGGTTCTCCACCTTGTCCACAGCCCACACACAGGCAAGAGCTTCACGTTCAACTGTGAGGTACTTTGTACTTGCGTTGAGCAGGAGAAAGTGTTCTGGATGCAAAAGTGACAACTCTTTCAATTTGATCTGAATGCAGTTGTGTCAATACCGTGCCCATTCCATAATCAGAAGCATCAGTATTAACATAAGTTGTCAACTCAGGATCATACGGAACTAATGCAGGACTATTGATTATCAGTTCTTTAAGTGCAGTAAAGATAGTGTAGGAGTTATGCTTTCCCTGGTCTCTGTCTCCCTCTAGTGTTGTATATTTGTCAGCTCCCCATCTGATGTCTGCACCTGTGATGTTTCACAGGTGTTACAGAGTCTCGTTAGTGTGTGTATTTAAATCTGTTTGCCTGCGTCCTTCATTGTCTGGTCATTGTGTCACTGTGATGCCTGTTATCCTCCTTGTGTCCTGCTCCTCGTATCCTGCGTCCAGTCCTATGATTTATGTAAGTCTGCTGCCCCATCAGCCATCTTTATTTTGTAAATAATAAATTATTTATTTATATTCCTTGAGTCTTGCCTGTCTGCCTGCACCAAATGGGTCTCCTGCCTAGAAATCATCACAGATAGATTCTGCTTCCACTGTCCACTTGAAGTTTAAGTCCGTGGAGTCTCTGAGCACTGCACGTAGTGGCTCAGTAACGGTTGCAAAATCTGGAACGAACTTACTGTACAAGATGCAAGACCAAGGAAAGATCTCAGAGAAGACATGTCATGTGGAGCTGGAGCATGGATCACAGCAGTGACTCTGTCCTGGTCCTGTTGAAGACCTTCTTTTGAAATAGTGTGACCCAGGTAGTTGAGTGAAGGTTGATTGAACCTGCATTTGTACATGTTAAGTTTGAGCCAGCATCAGTCAGGGCTTGGAGCACTCTCTTTAAATTTGCATCATGTTCTCTTTGTGGAGAGCCGTAGAAAATGATGTCGTCCAGATTTGCTTTTACACCTGGCAAACCTGCGAGGATGATTGACATCATTTTTTTGAAAGGCAGATGGGGCAAAAGCTAAGCCAAATGGAACTCTGCAGAAACTAACAAGTCCAACATGAGTGATAAACGCAGTAATATCACAACTTTCAGGATGCAGAGGCATTTGGTGATAGGCAGATGTTCAATCAATAGTAGAAAAAACAGTAGCCCCTCTTAGATTTGAGAACAGTTCATCCATGTGTGGTAATGGATTGCAATCAGCAACAATAACTTTATTTGGCTCCCTTAAATCAACACACATGTGTGGCTTTCCACCATATCTCCTTTGTGTCATGATTATGGGAGAAACCCAAGGCAAAGCATCAATACGTTCAATGATGCCCTTACCTTGGAGATCTTTGAGCTCCTCTGAAACAGCTTGTCTCACTGAAAATTGGCAGTCTCCTGAGTTTTTGTTGCACTGGAACAGCATTTGGCAGAATGTGTACCTTGTTTATGAAGTTTTTGGCAT